ACTCAGAGGTGGGTAGAGTAGCCAAATATTGTACTCAAGTAAGAGTATTGTTGCTTTAAAACAATATAACTCAAGTAAAAGTAAAAAGTATTTTGCATTAAAACTACTCTGAAAAGTACAATTTATCTAAAAGGTTACTCAAGTAAATGTAACTGAGTAAATGTAACTAGTTACTACCCACCTCTGCTCATAGATATGCGGCAAACTAAGGGCACAAACAATCAAAGCAAAAAAAACAAACATCTTTAAGTATTTAAGTACAGTCTGCATTGAACATGTAAAATGTGTCAATCTCTTCTCTTCCTCAGTTCTTCCTCCTCCTCAGCTCTCCACCTCCTCTCCCAGCAACGACAGCATCATTGTATCCTGGGCTCCTGTTGCTCATGCCGTCCAATATTCCATAACTATATACAAGCTTGGCTCAAGCACTGACATGAAGCACAACACCTCAGACACCAGTTTGACCATCTCTGGCCTGGATGCTGGCTCCCTCTACTTCATCAAGGGTGTCGCCTGGGACCCCGAGGGCCGAAAGGGGGAAATGAGTCTGTACCTCAACCAGACGACAAGTAAGGAAGCACAGAGACACTGTTTATATACTCTGTGGATGGCTGTGTAATCACATACTATAGGGGAGAGCAACATGCGTATGCCTGTAGCTATAAAGTCTGTTTACCTTTATGATAACATTTAAAAATATTATACATTAAGAAAGTGGTAAAAAAACAATAACAAATAACTAGAAACAGTTACATATCTGAACCCTGTCATAGAGAACAGCAGAAACACTTTCTTAGAAACCTATAAACCTTCTGACATCCCAATCCTAGTAGTTAGGAATAGAAAGAGACCCAAACCACCACCTCAGTGAAATATAAAGTGAAATCATATATTTGCAAAGGAGCAATAATTCCATGAGCTTTGAAGCACCCAACTGAAAGTGATGGAAATAGTATTTAAAACATTTACATAACATTGGAAAAATACTTCCTTACAAGTAAAAGTTCTCTCTACTTTGACGACCCCTTGTGGTAAGATGAAGCATGACTTGGCTGACCAGTTTGCCAGGACTGTCTCATTTTTTTTCCTACAGACTTATGCCATCAGGGCAATGATGTAACAATTGTAAATACATTCTACATATAGGTGTGTAAGTAGAAGTGAAGAAATATGAGCAGTGACGTGCACTACATCAGAAATATATCATATTTTATCAACTTGTGTTATCCTTGTGTCTGAACAGGACCTCCAACACCATATTCTGTCAGCGTCTCTTTGGTGATGAGTAACAGTGTGGCCGGACTCTCTGTATCCTGGGAACTCGATCAGCAGGTCTATGGACACATCGAGTACCATGTGATGAGTGACCAGAACCTCACGTGTAACTCCACATCCAGCCCCTGCACCCTGTCGCCAGTGGGCTGCGGAGAGGTACACACTATCCAGGTCACCGCCTGCAACCCGGCCGGGCCCAGCTTGCCATCCAACCCTGTGGTGTTCGTCACCTGTGAGTATTAGAGATTTGATTGTGATCAGATCCACACACTTATATATATTGGCTGATACTGTTTTTTTTCTTGATACTGATTTTGACTTTGATATTATATAGAAAAAAGAAATAGAATAGAGGTGTTTCTACCAAGCAGGCCTTATTTATGAAAACAGTATTACATTTAATGAGGATTTACTTTATTTATGTATCAATATGATGATGTACTTTGATTTGTCAGATGTTTCATTAATTATGGATTAGTCATTACCATCATTATCATTATTATCATCCGATTATTTTCTCTATGAACTACCATATATTTCATGACATCACATTATATCAAATAACATAAAAAATTACACACACCATTATATAAGATTTTTTTTAACATATTACCCATGCCTTATACCAAAAACCACATTTAGCATTTAATTGTAAAATAATAGGTTTATAACAAGAAAAGTTTAATGAGTGTTTTGTAGTTCAATTTAGTGTGTGAGAACTAACTATTCTACTGTTAATGCACACCACAAGAGTTAATATAAGATTAAACTTTATTCATCCTGAGTGAAATTGCTCTGCTGCAAACAAATGGGGAAAAAGAGGGCAAATAATGTGCTATGGAATAATGTTTTGACAAGTCTGTAAACTGGTTTGGTGAAGCACAGCTGCAGATATTTAGATTTTACTGTGTTATAATTGTGAGGTATTAAATCTATGGCGCATAAGCAGACAAATAAATTTGATTTAAACTGCATTTAAACCTGCACAGACACAGAAGGGAAAGAGAAAAAAGGTCTGCACCTTTAAGGACTGCAGCAACTTGTAGCATATTTAAGATTTGCCTATGAGACAGCTGTTAGTTTCATCATCATATTCTCTTAAAAAATAAAAAATGTAAGCGACTGTAACATAATAATATAACAGATATAAGAAAATCTAAAAAGACAAATCATGCTGCAGTACCCATCAATTTAATAAATTAAAACTAATGGTAACTATAATTAATAATAAACATACTTAAAAATACACTACAATAAGCTACAAAAGTTATTATCACCCTTAATCATCTAATTCAAGAGAATCATTAGTCTGTTATACGTAAGAATGTACAAGTACATTTGAAAATGGAAATGACTAGTCTACTGGAGAGAACTGCTTCAGAAAAACACAGTACATGACCACATTAACAGTTATGGATATAAAGTGACACAGCATTAGGGTGCTCTAAAGGCCCTGTCGGTATATGAGTGTGATTCAACTCACTGCCCTCCTGTTCTGTTAGTCCCCTGCCCACCAGAGTCTCTGGCTGTTGAGGAGTCACCGGAAGGAAACTGCACGCTGACATGGGACACAGTGCCTCATGCTGACAGCTACGGGGCCTTCATCAAGAGAAGTGATGGCAGCGAGGAGACCTGCAACACCACCAACAATAACTGCACCTACCACTGCGAGTGTGGCTACACTTACTTTATGTCTGTGTTCGCGTACAACCAAGCTGGCTGCAGTCCTCCAGGGCAAGTTCTCAACTACACCACCTGTAAGTAGCAGCTGAGGTGACATGTTTCAAGATGTTGAGTTATGAGACTGATTTTCTTCAATTTCCTGCTTATGATCAATATATGTTTATGTCTATTTGCTTGTGTATCACCTGTGTCTTTCAGTGCCCTGTTGTCCAGAGGGTGTATCAGTCTCCGTGGTGAGCACTGATACACTGGAGATCACGTGGACGGCCACGCGGGGGGCAGATCTGTATGAGACTCGGGCTGCAGACAGTTCAGAGGTCATCCTGTGTAACGACACGGCACCGGTGTGTGCCCTCTCTGATCTCAGCTGTGACAGTGCCTACAGTGTGGTGGTGACACCCTGCAATGAATATAGCGGATGCAAGCGTTCATGCAGAGCTCACACCCAAAACACAGGTAGAAAACTTTTGTTTGTATATTATATATATGTATCCAGCAAATATCCTGTTGAATTTTTCACTTTTTTCTGTTTATCTCTCTTGTACAGAGTTGCCAACTTTGGTTCATAGATTTAACATAAAACATAAAATCTTAAGACTGAAACTTATTTATAAGGCATATTCAAATTCGATTCAAAGTTAAGAGTTAGACACAGAAGCACAAAAACATTTTGTTAAACATATTTCTTTTTTTTTTAAAGGATTAGTTAAAAAAATGACTGAACAATTCACAACATACTTTAAACCAGTATGAGAAATTACTAGTTGAATATAACTGTCTGTTATTGCTTGTTTATTTAATGAAACTACACTAATTGTAAGAAAACAATTTTACAATATCTCATAATTGACCTGAACAGTCTTGTCACCCCTGAGGTCAGACCCTCAAAGGTACAAACACACTCAGTGAACTCAGCCATTTTAAAACTTCTTTCCTTCATCCCCATCAGCTCCCTGCATGCCGATGAATCTGATGCTGGACCCGAAAAACTCCTCCTGCGTCAGTGTCAGCTGGACAGCAAACAACAGGGCTGCTACTTACACTGTGAGCGCATTGGGAGATGACGGCAAACACACCTGCAACACCAGCGGAAACAGCTGTGACATCACCGACCTTCCCTGCGGCTCCACTTATGAAGTCAGTGTCACAGCAATTAGCTCCTTTGGTCAGAGTTTACCCAGCTACTCTGACTCTGTGGAAACAGGTGAGTGTGGTTAAATTTGGATTGATTCACTCAATTAAAGGGTACAGACAGGTATCAAGTTAAAGAAAAAAAAAACAACATAAAAGCAAGTTAGTGATGTGTTGGGTCACCAAGGGCCTCCAGAATAGCTCCAACCCTTCTGTGATTTTAGAAGTCTGGGTAACTGTGCTGAGAGCGCTGTCTAACATGTCGGTCCAAAATCTCCGATAGGCAGTGGTAGAAGAAATCTTCTTTTACTTAGGTAAAAGTAGCAATACAAAAATGTAGAATTACTCCATTACAATTAAAGTCTCCTGTTCACTATACTAAAGTACTAAAGTAAAAGTATGTATCGTCAGCATAAAGATTGATTTCAAGAATGATGATATTACTGTCTGTAATGTAATTTTGGAATTTCAAATAATTTGTAGATTGCAAGTTATTAAGTACAATTCATTTAAAGGTACTGCTGTGTTTTACTATATTATTATTGCACTTCCATAAGGTTGAGGGAATTTATGAGAAACAGATCTGAAAAAGAAGCAGTGCAGCCCAGGATTTCCTCACTCTTAGCCCCTAGTATGAGCCAAGCTCTAAAACCATTACATATAAATTTAAATATATTTTATCACTGCATTAATTCAGGTACATAAATACAGTATTATTTTGGTGGCTAAACATGTAGATACACTATTTATGAGGAGTATAAATGACAGATTTAATGCAGAAAGTGACGCAGATCAGACGATTTCTAACAACATATGTGTATATACATATAGGCTAGACCCTCATTGGTATCATAGAAATACAGATATCAATACAGATATTTTTGTGACATAAACACAAACAGATGGTAGCTTTTTAATACACCCCTAACATCCATGTATATCATCTATTTTTACAGAACCCTGTTGCCCACTGAATCTAACAGTGGAACAGGTGACGCAGGCGGTGACCAACGTCTCATGGTCTCATGCCAAAGGGGCTCATACGTTCATCACTTCTCTGACATCAACACGTGGTCACGCCCGCTGCCACACAGAGGACTCCCACTGCCTCATGGGATGCATCACCTGTGGAACCAACTACACTGTCACCATGGAGGCATACAGCCACAGTGGGCGCATGTCCAACTGTACCTATCAGGGCTTCTCATCCAGTGAGTAATGATGTTTTTTAACCAGTGAGAAGCACAGACTTCATTCATGAGTATCTGCTTAGAAATGTATTTTGAGGGGCGTCGGTGGCTTAGTGGTATGTCACTCCCTCGCTCTCTCCCCCTTTCACGCTTGTCTGTCCTATCAAATAAAGGCTAAAATTGTCCCAAAAAATATCTTAAAAAAGAAATGTATTTTGAGTAGTTAACATCAGTGTATTACTTGTCACACCATAGAATAAAACAATACCGATAATTTTGTCTACAGACATAATGTGCTGTGGGAAAATTTTACCTCAAAATCTTCAAGATAAACTTCATAGGTTTAAATAAAGAGTCAAATTATTGTGGCAGGGTTTGCATGCTGCTTCAGAGATCTTTACACACACACACGCACGTGCACACATGCACACACACACACACACACACACACACACAAACTAAATATAAGTCCCATTGTACTATTAATATGATAGCAATTATGTAATATTTGTGTGATATCCGGCCCTTTTATTCTTACACGTTTTTGGCAATACGGGAGAAATCATTTACATATTAGTGACTTAAGAGCTTCATTTCTGAGTCAGCCAAAAATCATGACCTGGTGACTCAAGATAATCCACAGACCATGTGAGCAGTTTCATGTTGGAACTATTTTATTATACACTGGCGAACCATATCAACACTCAGAAGAAAGCATCCTTTTGAAATTGTGAGATTGTTGAGAAGGGTTTATAGCCAACTGATACTTCTAGCTCACCTAGAGAGAGAGACAGACATCTTTCTGACCAATGTCTCAAACACTCAGCAACTCATGTAAAAACAATCTAGACTAATAAATAGCACCACAGGAAAGAGGAAAAAAAAATGTACTTTTGATTTTAGGGTAAACTGTCCCTTTAATGTTTATAGCTCAAAGACTCAGTATGTGTAGAACACAACACACAGACGGTCATGTTACTGTTTCCAGCTTTCTTTCAAAGGGCCTCCACGTTGTTATTTTTTTTAAGTATATTACATTAACTATCCACCAACATCTTGTAACTGCTGAGATAATAAAGCCAAAACAGACACGTCACATCATCTCTCTCTCTCTCTTTCTCTCTCTCTCTCTCTCTCTCTCTCTCTCTCCCACAGGTGCCTGCTGTCCGTCAGGAGTCCGGCTCTACAGGATGGCCGGTAACTCTCTGCGGGTGTACTGGCGCAGTGCTGGCAGCAGCCACAGCTACATCACAGAGATGACGAGCAGCAACAACAGCTACACCTGCACTGCCTCTATGGGGGAGAGCAGCTGTGATGTTGGCAACGTCCAGTGTGGGGACGTCTATAATGTAGTGGTGGCTCCGCTCACACCAGAGGGCAGCAAAGTCCAGTTCTGCCCCCAGAGAATGTACTCAGGTATGAAAGTGGCATCTCACAATACTGTAATGTTTGTAATCACAGTATATACTTTCATAGTATATTTATATACTTCTGTAAAGGAATTCCGGTATCTTTATTTGGGATTATCTGGAATAGAACAACAGTAAAGACAATTCAGACATTTTAAATGATCAGGAATGACAGGATGAAGTAAGGTAATGAAGATGAAAAATGTTGGATGTGGATGACAACAATTTTTTTAATTGAATTTACCTATTTTTTTCTCTCTGCCCTCTCAGTTACTTGCTTAGGGAACAACGTTGGTTCAGGTGAGCATAATAATCTGCATAAATATTTAAAAAGTTATATGAAGTCAAAATAACTGAAATCACCCAACAATTAGTGATAAAAAAAGTTTAGCAAAACATTTTAAATGTATGATTTTTCTAATGCCACTTCAATCTGTTCTGCAGTAATTTACAGAGGGAAACGAAGTTTGGACTAGCATATGGTAAGTAAACAGGGATTATATATATATA